CTTTCATTTTATCAGCTTAGTGCCTTTATTATGCCCCAATTACTCATCCATTGAGCGGTAGTTAAACTGAACCCAAATTTAAAAAAAGTTCCTTTTGCTAAGCAAGCTACAGTCTTGATAATGTCAGATATATTGTTTTTTAACACATTTCTCAACAATGAACAGTCAGTTTTATCAAGCTAACATATCCTAACACAACGAGTGAGAGTATTAACTGGTCTAATTATTTTATTAGACCAGTATATATTATTAGATTATACTGGTATAATTATATATATATATATATATATATATATATATATATATATATATATATATATATATATATATATATATATATATATATATATATATATATATATATAATTATACCGTATATAATATATACCAGTATAATTATACTGGTATAATTATATATATATATATATATATATATATATATATATATATATATATATATATATATATATATATATATATATATATATATATATATATATATATATATAATTATACCAGTATAATCTAATAATATATACTGGTCTAATAAAATAATTAGACCAGTTAATACTCTCACTCGTTGTGTTAGGATATGTTAGCTTGATAAAACTGACTGTTCATTGTTGAGAAATGTGTTAACAAACAATATATCTGACTTATCAAGACTGGGGGATGGGATGGGGAGGAATGGTGCCAAACCACTTGGACGGCGGTCGGGGATTGAACGCCTAGGACTGCTACTGTGCATTTAAATTACTAACTTACCTGAGGGTCTATATCCCTACATGTCAATGTTTGTGTATACTGGTAATGTGAGGAACATACAGAAGATAAGGGTAGTTGAACACCACAAAATGCTGATGGACAACTTTATTAAAGTTGCATAATGAAATGTGTAAGTACTTCATTCATAATGATGTGCTGCCCGAAATCTTAGCGAAGTATCAAAAATTTGCTTACTGTAGGTAATGCATGCACATGACTGTAAAACTGCCGCCCAGTTGGGTGGGTGTGGAGCACATGACTGTAAAGCTGCCGCCCTGTTGGGTGGGTTTGCAGCAAGACTAGTAACTGTGTGACTCACTATAGATGTAAAGTGCCTTTTATAGTGACTGTTGTGAGCCTCTTGTTGATCACCTGTGACACAAAGATTATTGATGTGTGTATTTGTGTAGGTGATTAAATATGTATGTGTATGTATATATGTATACGTATATATATATATATATATATATATATATATATATATATATATATATATATATATATATATATATATATATATATATATATATATATATATATATATATATAATTTTGTAACTAGCGTCAAACATTGTTATTTGCTTAGCTAAACGAACTAGAGGGTTCAGTTCCTGAACCGATTATGTGCCTCTGTAATCCTTTACACCACCGCCCACGGGATGGGTATGGGGTGCATAATAAAGAAAGAAATAGAAGAAATTGAAATTGCATAATACGGTTATTGACATTCAATAATAGTAAGATAAAGCAATGAGGACCAAATGGGAGACCAGTGATCAGATGAATATTACAGACTCAAGGGTAGCCTTCTCTTCTTGTATATAAATGAAAAAATAAATTCGTTTGTTTAATTCTAATGCTTGTAGGCGAGAACAGTTGTGAACGCCAGCTAGCGCACAAGTACATGAGCGCCCAAAATACTTTTACACAAAAGACATGTACAGACAGGCGTGTGGCTTCTGACTTCTTTTTTATTGATTAATATTAAATATTAGGCGCTTACCTATAATAGTTATCATTTTATACATGTATAACTCTCACATAATAAATATAAAAGGAGTTTATCCAAAAACTGACAGAAGTGTTGTGTTTTGTGCGTTGTATCGTGTTTGTAGGCATTCGGGTGTGTTGTGTTTACGCTGGCGGGCGGCGTCCTTACCAACTCCGGATTATGTCTATTACATCACTAAACTTCATTTAATAACTATATGCCTGTTAAATAGAAGATTTTAATTGTTAATAGCATTATATTGTCGTTTTAATATGGAACACGTACACATATGCGAAACGTCGAAAGCTGGTGTCCGAAGTGGTAAAAATATTAGTGTGCGATGGTGTCAATGTACGGAGTGTCTTGTATCCTGGGAAACAGCTCTGGCGAGGTTGTGTATTGGCCATACTCGCTTAACCCATAGTTACTTGATGGAGCGCCGCCTTGCTCCTTATTGTCCTAATTGCATTGTCCCTCTTATGGTCGTGCATGTCCTGACTTCCAGGATGAGCGTGTGTCATGCTTTCCGACTGCCCCTCGCGGTCGCCTGTCCCTGAATAGAATTCAGGGACATCCGAGTCTTGGTGACTCGGATACTTTTGATATCGTTCGCCTTATGCGTTTTTGTTCTCGTATTGGCATCCTTGGTGATATTTAGCGCCCTCTGATTATTCCGCACATTTGATGGTGCTACATAGCCTTCCCGGTTTGGTGCCTTTTTTTGATAATTACTTAGCAATTCATCTATCACGACATTCTGTGCTAGTACAAAATAGTCATGGAACTTTCCTCTCAAATCACTAAATATCATTTTAGTGATTTGAACTAAATTTGATTTGAACTAGTGATTTGAACTAGTAATTTGATCTTTTTAGTGATTTGAACCACACTTTCCACATTCTGTTGTCTCTCTTCATTAGCATTGTTTTCAAAGTGCAGGCACCTGAGAAGTAGCAAGAACCTATCACGTGACATGTACCTGTTGAACAAGGGGGGTTGGAACAAGACTGTCTTTGCTCCAATAATCCTAGATCACGTGTTTATCTGCATCCCTCATCATCATGCACAACATTAAAACACATACATTTCCTCATTAGTCGTGTCTTTCCAACGTGTCAATCAATAGGTAGGTAAAATTCCAGAGTCAATAAGTTCCAGAGCAGATTGGTTCGTCTCTGCAACGAAATAGTCCATGAATGGCTGATCGAAATATGCCATACAATAATCAATTTCAGGCATATCATCACCAGTATATGGGAATAAGGGTGTTACACCAGCATCAGTATCATCAAATGCTGGAATTTGTGGGACAAAATTCTCACAATCCTGCCACACAAGTACACCCATGTTTTTGGTTTCAGCACCAGCATGAGCACTAACACCATGACTCATTAGTCTTGTGCTAGAGCTGCGTATGGGTTTGCCAAAAGATATATGGCTGTTCTGCGTAGTATAGGCCTACTACAAACACCTGATGTCAAGGGCACACTGTTGTCATTGTCCTCGGGCCACGTGACATGCAGGCGCTTGCATCGGGAAGGTGTTGGGGCAGCAAAACTCTGCCTAGTAACACCATAGCCACTTGCACTTGGTTCCTCAACACTGCTTATATATGAGCCTATGTCAATGAACCCAGAAAATTACTCGTCACATGTAGACTCACCAAGTAGACTCAGGTCAGGTGACACAGATGGTGATGGTAACTCCAGTTGTGTTGACCCAAGCCAGTGTGGGAGGCCAGACGAGGCGCATGTACTGTGCACACATTCGACATCATCCATTGCATTCTCCCCATCACTCGTGTCAGACCCTTGTTTTAGGTCTTTATCAGGACTATAGTCTAAATCATCAGTAATTGGTCCATCATATAACAATATGTTGCGTATTTCATCCTCTGAGAGTTGTTTTACAGCACCATGGCTGACAGTGGACCGGGAACTCATAAATGATGCATCAGATATGATTGCTACCTTGAAACTGAGGCTCCTTATGGCCGTGGGGCATGCCAGTATTTTTTTTCAAAATCCTGGACGATCACTGGAGGCCTCAGGCATTCATTTCGTACCCAAGTCACTGTGCGCCAGTTTTGAATTGTACGCTATTCCTGTGAACACTCGGAGGTGCTCTGCACACTCCTGATCTACACCCTCAATGCGCTCTGCACAGTGCGGTGGTTAAAGCAAGTCCTTGGACTCGAAACCTCCAACCTTTAAAGCAAGTTCTTGGACTTGGTACCTTGAACCTTTAAAACATTAAGTCCCTGGACTCGGTACCTCCAACCTTTAAAACAAGACCCTGGACTCAATTAATGCTGCCAGAAGTTGGCAGAAGAATTAAATATCACCTTATGTAGTTGCTTTCAAATTTGGCAGTTATACTTCCTTCAAACCCGATGCTCATTCTTTACATCTATTTCTATGATTTTTATTCCTGAATGTAAGCACTGATCAAGCCATGCCTTAGGAAACATGCTAGACCTCTTGAGACCCACTTATGCCTACTTGGTGCCAGGACAAGAATCTGATTCCCTCAACAAGGAAGGGAAGCTCGGGATCAGAAATCTACTTCAAAATTGAGAAAAACACCAGAAGCTGTAAGTGCAACAAAATAAGTCACTGAAAGTCAAAAGATAAGTAGAGGTTAGTGACAATGGAGGCAAATAATAATTTCTGCAATGTAAAGCTAGTGATGGTGTTGTGGCCACTCAACACCCAAGGTCCCTGATAGCTTCCTCACTTACTCAACAGGTCTTGAATGAGACCCATAAGGTCAATAAATGTGTTGTTGTTGTTCCTTATTCTTCTTCATGCTTGTGCTTTGTCACCCACACAGCATGTACTCTGGTTTATTATTTCACTCTGACCTTGTACCAGGGTTGGTTACTTTGTGCTTCCCTTGCCCCACCACAGATACTTGCCCCCACCATGGATACTTGCCCCCACCATGGATACTTGCCTCCACCACGGATACTTGCCCTTACCAGGGATACTTGTCCCACCAGGGATACTTGCCCCCACCAAGGATACTTGCTCCCACCATGGATACTTGCCCCCACCAAGGATACTTGCCTCACCAGGGATACTTGCCTCACCAGGGATACTTGCCCCACCAGGAATACTTGCCCCACCAGGGATACTTGCTCCATCAGGAATACTTGCCCCACCGTGGATACTTGTCCCACCAGGGATACTTGCTCTGTGAAATTTGGTTTCCTCCTCCACAATCTAACTACTCATGCTTGCAGGAAGTGCATGGGACGTATACACCACTGCAATCCCGTGGATGGGAAGTAAATGGTGAAGATGGTGTCTCACCCCCCAATGGGGATTATCTGGACCACTGTTCTCAGGTAGGCTGCTATACCTGGCTGAAGCGCTATGCGTGTTAGTGGCTTTACAAGAATGTAAAAACATCAATGCTGTGTACTCTCATAAACCCAATGTACCTTCTTGTATATATATAAATAAATAAATAAATAAAATTTTGCTTTCTGGTCAGACCTGATACTGCTGTTTGAGGTTTTTCCCAGCCTATCCTGCTAAAGTGAAAGTACTTATAATAACTCTATGGTTGAAAGTACAGTACCAACCTATAGTGATGGACCACGAGAAAGTCGACTTTTGTATAGTTGAATTTTCACAAATCAATTTTTTTTAACTATTACATAAATATAAGAGCTAAGCTAACCTCTCCTAGCAATCCTAGACTTAATACAGGCTATCTTAGGCCTAATACAGTACAGTGCATATACAGTAAGTGATATACTAAACCTAGAAATATATAAGTACAGTATTTTTAAGGTATATTTTTTCTGGACTCTATCAAATTAACAGTATAAAAGGAAGTTTACTGGTGGTCCATCACTACATATTGATACTTTCTACCAAATAATTACTATAAGTACAGTACTATTGTTAGGATTAAGGTATTTTGTGGGATTAAATACTACATAGGTGTATAATGTTTTGAGCAGATGCTCTTTTTGGATGCTCTTTTGATGATGTAAACTGTTCACTCTTTATTTTACAGTTTGCCTGAGGTAGTGATTTTCATGTAATGAACTTGGGTTGTAATACTAAGAAGTTTGGTTAATATAAATTTACCTGTAAGGTATATGAATTCTTTTAACTAATTGTTACTTGGAGTTGCAGAGATTAGTTTTGTGTTAGCTGTATATTACAGCTTCCATTCTTATGCTAGAGATAATTTTGGTGTTTGCAATTTGTAGAACAAGAATTCACAACAAGCTATAGTTTGTATTTTAATAATAATGCTGTAATGTTTATTATCAACATGTTTTAAATAAAAATCAAAAGGTCACTACTACTAATTCAAAACCTAACTTGTTTTACTGTACTTGTATTTAGTATGAATGGACTGTAAGTAATGATTTTGTGTATGTATTTGGTTGATTAAACACAGAGTATAGGGCTTTCTGTAGGGAGCCCCTACGGCTCCCTGGAGCTTATCGAGCTAATGTATGTTATATTAGACCTGGACATTAGCTAAGGAGTTCAGACCTACCAGGGACCAGTGCCAGAACTTGGCCCCTTCAGAGAGGTCTCAGGAAGCAATGGCCCTGGAAAACCCCCTTGTGGTTGGGGTTTTTCTTTATCTGCCATCGACCGGGGTCAGGCACCCAGAAAGGTAGTCATGACAAAACAAACCCCACATGGTAAAAAACTAAAACAAAAAACTGAACAGAGAAGTAGAAACTCCCTACAATCCCAAGGAAACAAGCAATAAACATCACACTTTATTGCTGCGCCGATCGTCCGCACAGCCCTCCCCGCCCCGGGAGGGGGGGAGCCCCGGACCTACCATGCCGGCTGCCAAGCTTCAGGTAATAATAATAATAATAATAATATTTTATTTACAAGAAAGTACAATGGGTAGGTGCGATTACATTAAAGTGATATTTTGACATTCTTGCAAAGTCACTAACATGCGTGGGGTTTCCGGCAAAAACTTGGAACTTTTGTAGCTGAAGCTAAAACAACTGAGGGCTACTAACACAGTGGTCTCAACGAGGACAGGAAGTCTGCGGCTTGTCAAAGCCCCCTTAAGTTAAGTTCAGTTCTTAAGCTAATGTCAACCGGGATAGACGCTTCTCTGGCCTCAGTTTCCTAGGCGGTGTTTTTCCTTGTGTGGCGTTCACTGCCATGTGTTGTGATGTGCGGTGGCCAGGAGTACCTCATCAGTGCTGGGGCTGCATGCGCTTAGTGGCTGACTTCCCTAAGCACCCTATGAGTGCCCTTGCATAACAGGGTTATCTGCCCTGGGGCGTTTGGGAACCATTCCCGTAGAGGTTCTTGCTGCTCGGCATTTGCCTCGCCCTTGGGGCCAGCTGGGGCTTGGGGCCCTTGTTTGGCCTTGGGTAGGGATTGGTATTGTGCTGGTTAGAGCGTCAAGGTGTTGTGCGGCTTGCCACCTAAGCGGCGACCGGTTCCTGTTGCCTCTGGAGACAGTGTGCTTTTGCGGGGTTTTTCTTTTGTTATTATTTTCAATTGCCTGGTGGAGGTCTGCCCAGTGTGGCTATAGTTCCACTGGTAGTGTTTGGCGGCCCTCTGCTAGGCCCCCGTGATTGTACACGTTGCAGGGGTTTTCAGTGCTATCCTCTACCCTCTTGTTATTTTTGGGTTTCTTAACCCCTTAACTGCGTTGCCTCCAAATGTGACACCCCCGCAGTGCGCAGGAAATAAATTATCTGGAAAAAATTCTTTTTTTCTTTTTAAAGTGTCAAAAACCCTTCCCTCAGTATGGGTATGTAAAAAAAAAATCGAAATTGTACTTACTTTGGCTGCTATGGGGTCCGGAAGTTGGGGCGTGACGTCATCATTCCCCGTGCGCCCGTGTCGTAAGCTCTCGGGGGCGGGGCGTGCGAGTTGCCGCGAATATATTTTCGTTCATTTTTTGCGCACCTTTCCAAATACATTTTCATTGTTTTTATGTGCCAATCCAATGTATAATGAACACATACACTATAATATCGCGGTACAACATCCGTACTGTCCGTAGACACTGTTACGCGCATGAAACTTGTGTACACATATGCAGCGCATATTTACTATGTATCATGCTAATTTGTGTATATATACAATCTATTTACACACTATACACTGTCACTATATACATTCACCATCAACACATTCAGAACACCGCGTAGCAGCTGCCTCGTATGGGCCAATAGCAGCTGCCTCGTATGGGCCAATAGCAGCTGCCTCGTATGGGCCAACAGCAGCTGCCCCGTATAGGCCAATAGCAGCTGCCCCGTATGGGCCAATAGCAGCTGCCCCGTATGGGCCAATAGCAGATGCCCCGTATGGGCCAATAGCGGATGCCTCGTACCAATAGCGGCGGGTCACCCTAATTCGGTCCATAGAATTACCCCAATCACCCCAAATCAGGCCAAAACTACCCAAATCGTCCTAGCATTACGTAAGTAATGAAGAAATATGGCATATTTACTTACTATAATGTTGGTGCTACACATAGAACATGATCAAACCTATTTTTACTCTGAAATAATCTAATTTCATAACGAAATTAGACGTAAATATGTGAGAGGTGACGCCATAGGAAGTCGACGGTCCAAGCGACAATTGTGTGGAGCGACTTATCCAAGAAATATGGTCGCCTGGAGAGTGTTTGCTGCCATATCAGCCTCCTGTACACAGTGATCCAGTCCTTTTCGTTCATTGAACACCGAACCCTACACGCCCTCTGATATATTGCTTAATTAACAAATATTCACAAATAAAGATTATATTTGTATATGTTATCAGAAAGGCAGATATAAAAAAGTTTTTGTGAATCCATCACAGAGATTATACCTTATTAGAGAGGAAAAATATTCATACTTTAAACAAGGCTTCATGGCCGACGCTCTCCTTACCGATATGGGAACTATGATCTTCCGAAGATCAATGTTAATTTAATCTAGATATTGTAATAAACGAAGTTTTCTATGTCATCATAAAGACATAAATATAAGCTGCATGTTAATACTTTGACATAAATATAACTGAATTGAAAGTTAAGATATATGCCTTTTTATAGTTACTTGATGGCTCGCTCAGGGAGTGTGAAGGCCTCCACACAAGCCAATCAATTTTATAATTACTTTGCATATATGCAAAGTAACGCCATAGGTCTTTATGTCAGAATAAAGCCATGTAGACGATAATGTAACTACATTTCAAGGAAAACATATCTTAATATAATTATTAAATGAATGCAAAGTTATGGTTAAATAAATAGCCAATACCACACAATCGCCGGTGTCCGGACACATGAATAGTCGCATTAGGTGAAAGGAAATGTACCCAACCATTTCCATTTACCCAACCAGTTTGTGCACCCTATACTCATCCTCTGTGCGGTAATTTATTGTGCATCCCATACTCATCTTGTTACCAGTAGTTTGTGCAACCCATACTCATCCTGTGACCCGTAATTTATTGTGCATCCCATACTCGTCCTGTTACCGGTAGTTTGTGCAGCCCATACCCATCCTGTGACCTGTAATTTATTGTGCAACCCATACTTATCCTGTGACCTGTAGTTTATTGTGCAGCTAATACTCATTCTGTGAGTCATAGGACATTGCGCAACCCTTTCTCATCGTGTGAATCTTTGTTTACTTTGCTCTCCATATTCATCCTCTGCGCGATAGTTTCTTGTGCAACCCATACCCATGATGTGAGTGGTAGTTTATTGTGTACCCTATATTCATCCTGTGAGTATAGGGTACACAATTCTTGTAATGTTATTTGTCTATTTGTAGTCACAGTATTTGTGCGCCCCTTGAGGGACTTGAATTAGAGGGGGGTTGAAATAGCCTAAGCTACTCTATCCCTTTGAGATGTATTTATTGCTTATCTCAATAAACATACTTGAACTTGAACTTGGGTACACAATGAGTTCATTTGTACTCCATACTCATCATCAAGAAGTGTATTTTACCAGCATTGTAATATAAATTAAGAATAAAAGCTTAACTGGATTACGGACCCATAATCAAAATAAGAGTCATCACTAATTATCATGACAAATTCTCTAGGCTACACTTCCGCCTTCAACAAGCTGCCGCCGGATGTGGGTATAGTTTATTGTACACCCCCGCACCCCCAGTCCTGGGAGGGCGGGCATTGGGATGTGGACATGTGTACCATTATACCCCCCCCCCCCCCACACACACACACACTCGATCCTCTCCTGTTAATAATAATACTAATAATAATAAAAATTAAAAATAATAACGTTAATAAATATTATAATTAAAACACTTACTGTAATACCCTAGTGCTTGAATGAAGGTGAAGGAAAGACCCAATAAATGTGTAAGTGTATTAAAAACCAAATTTTCGTTGGGTGAGCTGGCAGGTGAGCACCACCTGCCAGCTCACCCAGTAATGAACATCACCTGCACACTGCACCGAACCACTTGCCAGCAGGTGCAGAAGTACGATGGAGAGAGCAAAGTATACAATATTTCAAGTATAATATTAAAGATATATTTAGGATTTAATGTTTTCCTATAAAGTTTCAATAATACCTTTATTTGATTTTTTGTATTATTTTCTACCACAGACGTGGCCACACATTAACAATGCTAACCAGCATATATACATTTTCTTCAGTCCGCCATGGACTCTAACCCTTTCCACTACCGCCCACAAGATGGGTATAGGGTGCATAATATAAGAACTAAACTAACTAACTCCATTGATAGGGTTAGAGATTTGTTAAACATATAGTTCAGGGATTTATTGAACAATCAACCACATAAGGTGATTGTAGTGTTTTTAAAATGCTAGGCTAAGCTACATACGTAAATACATAAATACACAGATTTACGTATGCCCTACATAAAGTGTTCGATGTGTCTTTTACATAGTGTCATTAACGTGCATTTACAAAGGTGAAATTGAATTCTGACCAGCTTCCACATATACTTTATACACATACATATACACACACAGACGTATGCGTACATATACATATATATACATACATATATACACACATACATACACATATATTTGTCTCTTTTACTCTGACAAGGTGAGATAACTGATAGAGAAACTAGTGTGCAATTAAGCACTTAATCACTGAAGGTGATTAAGGTGCTTTCACAAGCTCAGGTTATAGAGTTACATCACATACATTCATTGTATAATTGATACGTTACATGGTCAATCTAGGGTACAAGTTCAATATATCATCAAGTGTTCCAGTACTCAAATAGTAATTACACAGTTCAGCATAGCGTTTCATTCATGTATGTACGAGAGAAAATTGTTCAAATATATTACATG